TGTAGTGATCAAAAAAGTCATTGCCAAGTCTGACGGCCTCTGGAAAAAACAAGTTCTTGGTCTGAGTATAATTTAGGAGTGAAGAGCTGTCCTTGCCGCAAAAATCACTACCAGGGCTGCTAATTAGATACCCCTATTGGGATCCTCAGCATGAATTTATTAGGGCTGCATTCATCACACTTTCAGTACCTGCTTTGAGCAAGTTTTCAGGGCACAATACTGAAGACACCCTGTGTGCCTTGCACCCAGTGTAAATACTACATTTGGCCTAGGTGTATTAAATACCAGATCAGAATGGTTGCATCTTGCACCCACTTAACCCAGGTGTAGGCCTCTACACAAGGTGGGAGGGCTCAGCTCTCCACTGCTAAAGACTGCTCTCATGCTGGTGAGAATCAAGAGTAATTCCACTGAAGCCATTACGTCAGTATGAGAGAGGAGACCAGCCCCTACTCTCACATTTAAGAGTGGGGGCAGAATTTATATTATAGATTAGATTGACTCTTACAGTGACTTAGTGGAGTAGCTCAGAGTGCAGTGGAATAAAGAATTTGGCTCATGAAACAGGCCAGACACTGCCTTGTGCTTTGAGCAGTCATTTACCCCTGTGCAAAATAAGCACAAGATGCTATCAGATGAGAAGGGCAGTGTTTACGCATTCACTTTGCACTAGTGAAAGCAACCACACAAGATGCAGGGCAATGATGAATTGGGCCCAACAGAACAGAATGGTGCTCTTGAGTGCACTCTGAATCTTTGTTCCTTTCATACGCAGGTCTCAGACAAAGTGGTAAAGCAGTACAGTCTAGGTGTGTATTTACAGGCATTCAGTTCAAGAGGAGCCTTTCTGACTGGCAGTTGTTCGGCCTGTGCGTCAGCCATGCTTGGGTATTAACAGCTGAAGCCACTTGGATTTGACTATTTCTTTGGAAATCTCCCAAAAAGCTTTCATGTTACTGGCACAGACAGACAACAGGTGCTGTGAGAGCCACCCCACAGGAGCCGCTTGTGACTGACAGAGCAGCCTGGGGTCTTGCAGCAGGGTGTTTTTTGATGAGTCGTACAACAGGAAGCCAGAGCATGGGGAGGCACCACAGTAAGGAATGTGTGTGACTTTTTAAAACAGCAAAACCACGGAGAAGAGAAGAGTTTTTTTATTTGCACCCCAATTGAATGGCATTAAGGATAACAACTACCAAGGGACTTTCTTCACTTCCTGGTTGTAGCAGCAGATTGTGAAAGAAACCGAAAAGATTTAACTATTTCAAGGCAAAAGTGACAGCGGCCACACGCTGACCTGGAGCGAGCAGGCCCAACACAACTGGACGCGGAGTACTTGTTCCATTAGCCTCTACCTTGTGTAGTCACTTACGGGAGTGCAAGCCAATCTGGTTGGGTAGCATTTTACATCCACTTTGCATTGATATAAGTGACTACACAAGGTGCAGGGCAATGGAGACTCAGGCTCAATAGCTGGCACCAGACCCACTTAGGACAGGTATTTTACTCAGTGGGCCACATCCTGCTGCATTAAACCACCTTTGTAATATTCCAACAGTGCAGAAAGCAGCCCTAAAGCCAGCTTACTCAGCCAAATAAAGATTCCTCCCCCCGCAATAGAGGGCTCCATAGGTGGGGTAGAACTGCTGTAGCAGTGCCTATGCCACACACTGCTGCTGACCAGAGCATGAGGCATGGCTGGGGATAGAGGATGTAGCCAGGGATTCCCTATGCCCTGTTCTAGTTTATGCCAAATGACAGGCTGATGCACGGCAGCCCCTAGATCAGAGGGGCACAAAGGATGCAAAGCTGGCTTTAAGTCATACACCACACTGCAGCTGCCCCAAATGTTTCTTGTCAAACAATCTACACAGTTGCCCTTCATTGCTTTTTATAAAGTCTCAGATGTTCTTGGGGAAAATTTTAAAGGGACACTATAGCAACAAAAACAACTCCGATTGTTGCCTCACCACATGTTCTGATCCTATGGGTGCAATTTTAGGTCTTCAGGTAATCATGCCCACAGATAACTGCAGACACAAATTCACGGAACTCAGACATCTAGCTTCCCGACTTTCCACAAACAAGATAGCTAATCGTGTCAATTCTACAAACTAAGCCTGTTAGTTGCAGGAACAATCGGTGGGTGCAAAATTGTGCCCATCAATTTAGAGTGTCTCTCAAAAATTAGGAAAATACTACTGTGCTTGTGTTATTAAAATCTTAGATTAGAATTTGAAGATTCAAAAAAAATCTAAGTTTGCTTTTCCCCTTTGTGCTGTTTATTTATTGATTAGCTTCGCTGCTTCAGAGTGAAGAGCAGAGAAGCTGATTTAGTTTCACTTTCTGTTTTGTATGCACTAGCCTAATGCTGCAGCTGCATTTGGGTCCCCAGCAGTGCCGGGAAAGGTTTAAATTTAAAGCTACCAAAAAGAATACCTTTCACGGGTATTTGGGGTTTTTAAACCTGCATGAAAACACTTCTATTCATTTTAAGTTCAATAATCTCCTGCCCCCCCCCAGTCTGCATTTTGGGCCTTCGCGACTCAGCATTCTCTTCAGCAGGATTCTGAAGTTACTTTTTTTTTTTTAAACTAGTTCATTGTGTAGCATTTAATAAATTATTCATTAACCACTTCATTGCTGTGTTCTGCGGCAGCATCCGAGATGCAGAGGACCGTAGCAGCGGTCTCTAAATCCCAGCATTCCATTATTGGAACATTAACACTTTAATAGGGATGTTTGTGAGTGGCACAGCATTGGAAGTGTGTTTTGCCCCTGTACCAAGTATGTAGGTAGCTTAGAAGCAGGTTACTTATTTAGGTAATATTTGTAAGTCACTGAATAGTAGACAAGCCAATTACCAAAGAGGGTGGGAGATGACTAAATTAAACTTAAAGTGAAACAAACTGGGGCCTGATTCTATAAGCATAATAGACCCAAAAATCCCACTGGTGTCAGATGAAGTTTTGGATGATCAAGAAATGCAGGATTAGACCCTAGACTGGCTTTTACTTTGCTGATTGCTTTGAAAAAAGACAAAAATCAGAACTGACAGACTTTGTTGCTCAAATGAACACCTGACTTTGGAAACATCGTACAATTCATGGCACCAAGGTAAACTGTATGACTTTTTTGCCAATGCACGTTTCCTGTGATTAAATTATTGCCAGAGAAGAATGCAGTGAAATTCTTGTTTACTGATGCTTGCAAACGAGATCTATAATCCCCTCCCGCTTCCTCCGTCTCTTGGCAACTGATAAATAATTTGTAGTGCTCATTGTCATATGTACTAAATGTATCCCCGTTGGTTTTAATGATGAAACTGAGGCCTAAGAAATGGAACACTAACTGTAGATCACAATGAACACATTCAGTCTCACACTTCTTAATACGTGAAGCTAAAAGGAAGTTATACAAACCTCTGCAAAAAAGAACCTTTTGTTTGCCCCACCTATATGGCTGAAATGGCTGTGCAGAGTGTCAGGGACAGAAATGACAAGAGTATGTTTGCATGAGTTAGGGCCTGATCCAAAGCCGACTGAAGTCAGTGGGAGCTTAGTTTGTTTCACTGCATTATTCTTCTCTTTACACTTCACATGGGGAGAGTCTTGTTGAGGGCAGTTTTTAAGATCCACATTAATTATGTGCTTGTGCACCCTTTAGAAAAGCCTCTAGCGTGCATGTGCCAGAAATACCAAGGTTACTAGTTGTCTCATCAGCTGAGAAAGCTGTTGTATTTCACATGCAAACAAAGCTTTAAAAAGACAAGACCAAAAAATACTGTCTACCTGAAACATTTCTGCTCTTCGCACCTCAGATGAAATACTTCTTTTCACAACAGATGTTACTCCAGTCCTTCCAGCACTGACTTAACTATTTATGAAACCTAGCATGTTTTAACAATACACACTCAGCATATGGTGTGAGCACTATTATGGCAACACTGCCTCTTACATCCATACACTGGCTGGAAAGATAATACCAAGACAGTTGTGGGCCTATAGGTGTGAGGGGACAGGAATCAAAGAAGGAGACTATGAATTAAGGACAGGGAAGGAATTTGTTAAACAAACAAACAAAAACACAAAAAACAAAAAAAAGGTATATTGTCATATAACGTTACAAAATGGCAGTGCTCAAGAAAATGGGTGCACTTTTTTGATGCTCTAAACAAAAACCCACTATCAATATTCACTTTCTGAAATGATGTGAAAAAGAACGGCATCAATCATTAAACAGTTAAATGAAGGCAGTATGACAGTAGCTATTGTTCTCTTGAAGCACACTTGTATTTTCCAGAGCAGCTGCCAGATCCTATTAGATGTATAAAAAGGAGGACTTCTCGGACTGAGTCAGGATGGTATAAGCTATTGAAAACAGCAGACAAAAGCCCACTTTTGCAGACTATTCAAGCCCTGTATAACATCTGTCCAGAATCAATTTTTGACCTAATGTTACTTTCATTAAGTATTAGACTTTGTTTCCAGTTCAGTTTGTTTCCCTGACTAAAATGGTACCCCAAGTGCGATTCCATGGGAAACAAGATGGAGAGAGTAGATCTTATGCAAAAAGCATGCTATGGAACATGTTATTTTCTTGACTGTTTTGACACCTTAAATAATATTATGACAAGAAAAATACATGCCACTTATTTGGATTCTTCTGCATTCTTTGAATTGCCAAAGAAGCAAGAAAATATATTACAAAACAAACCTCTCGTGATTTATGAAGACTGATTTGCTGATGCTGAAAAGAGGATTTTTAGGAGTCATATGAAAACTGAAAATTAAAAAAAAAAAAAAAAAAAAAACGCTACACAACTTTTCCAATGCTTGCCTAAAAGAAAAAGTACTATGAAGTTGAATTACTGCTGCTGAAGCTGTATTCCTCTTTATGACTTAAGAGTTCTCACACATTTTAAAAATGAGGAAGTGGATTCAAGCATTTGACTTCAAACTGACTGAAGTTAACTACATAAAAAAAATACTTCCACTTACCCATATGGTCGCTGAATAAAGGCTGGATGTAGCTGCTGCACACCTATAGTAAAACCTGAAAAAGTACGGGGAAAGCATTAGTATTAAACAAAAGCATTCACTGTAGTGTGTAGGTATTATAATGCATACATGCACAACTACAAGTGTGTGTGTGTGTGAGAGAGAACATTTTAAACTCCCTAACAGAATACTTTTTAGAGGTACAATTATTTTAATATACTCATGTAACATGCACACAGATCAGACTGGAATTCTGAACACAGAAAACTCACTCATACAAAGAGACAAGCGCTCATTTTCTACAACATGCAATAAACCCAAAGGTGGAGTGGTAGAAACAATTATACTATAGCAGTTGTAAGAAAAAGAATATAAATGCACTAGCTTCCGGGGACAATATCCTTATCCCAACTATGTGAGGCTGGGGGTATATACACATGTGTAATTTTGGCATAGAGGGTTCAAGTAAGGAAATGGGGAGCAGAGAAAGCTGAATTACATAGTGCACTAAACAGGCAAAACTGAGGGGCCAGTGTGGCTTTTCAGATCAATTACCAACACATTTCCCATTTTGCAACTAAGGCTTCTTCAAACAGAGAGAGCTGAGAACTCACCAGTTTGAATACTCCTTGGTTTTGCTCCCAGATATGCCAGGTTCACATTTGCTTTTCTGCCATCAATGATGGGGTTGGGATCTTTGCACGCTCTCTCAGCTGCAGCTCTGTCTGCCATGGTCACCTGGAGTTAAGCACAACCTGTTTTGAAGCAATGGTTCTCCACAAAACCTACACTGAGTGGGGCTTGATGAAGTTTGCTTATTTTGGGTGAGGAGTTAAATTTGCTTTCTTGAAATCTCAGTTTGCGGGGGAGGGAGAAGACTCAGAGGGACAAGAATGGGTCCTGTGCACTGGGGTGAAAACAGAAAGCACCAACAAGTTTCTCTCCTGGGGATCTGCCAGCAATTTTTTTTCCACTCTAGCACACACAAGTTGGTAGAGTAACTTAACCCCTCCCACCCAACACTCCCTAAAGCAGAGGCTGCTCAAGGAAACTTGAAGCAAAGGACACACTCATGAATCATACAGAGGATGCAGAAATTGAGGCTGCACAGAATGTGCTTCACTGAAGCGCTCTAAAGAAACAAGCCAGCAACGCGTGGGGGAAGGGGTGGTGAAATGAACTACAGAACAGCCAGCACCGGAGGTTCTTATCCCAATGCTCTCAGTCAAGGGCCTTTGTCTTGGGGGTGGGAGAGTTACTCTCTGCCTCACCCCCACACCCGAGCTCTCCTGCGTTCAGCAGTCTGTCCTGCAGGAAGAAAAACAGATCTGAGCGATGAAGAAGTGGGAAAAAACTTTCTAGCAGAGGGTGGCTCTGCACAGAAGAGACCTCCAAACCACCCAGCCCTGTGTAACCCCCACGCTAGCTAGCTGGTGCAAGAGCAGAGCAATAAAGGGGGAGGTCTTGCCCATGGAGAGCGTGGGGGGCATACAGAGAGATTCTCCCCTGCGTTAGAGAATCCAGGGGAAGAAAGGGCCGCAAGGAACCACCCTTGACAACTAGAGGAGGCTAATGGGATACAGTGGGGAGGGGAGGACGGTGTTTCCCTGGGGTAGGGGCTCTCTTCCCTGGGAGAGGGGGGATCCCAGGCTCACACGCTCTTTACCCGACACAAAGCAAGTTACTATCACAACTCCCCCAGCTTCAGAGACCGGGCTCCTCTGGGACATGCCTGAGCCGGGCTACCAGGACCAACACGAGGAAGCGACCAGGGCACCAGCCCCGGCTAACGCCCGCCTTTCACTCCGCGCCCATCACCGCGGCACCTGCCTGGGCTGGGGGGGGGGGGGGAGGGGGGCACTTACAAAACCATATCCCCGGGATTTGCCCGTCTGCCGGTCGGTGATCACCACCGCTTCCTCGATGTCCCCGAACACTTCGAAGTACTTCCTCAGGGAGGAGTCGGTGGTGTGGTAGGGCAGCCCCCCGACGAAGATCTTGGTGAAGGTAGTGTCCTTCTGCACGGTGTGCATGGCGCTGCGGGCGCGGGGCGGCGGCCGCTGCAAAAAGCATCCAAGATGCCACGGGCGGCCGGGAGCAAACGGCTCAGGGGCTCAGAAGAGGCGTGAGACACCCTGGGCCGGGGTCATCCTCCTCCTCACCACACGCAGCTGGGGGCAGAGGTAGGTGGGGCCGCCCCCACGCAGCAACAGCAGCGGCAGCTGTCGCTTTGTCCCCCATGCACCGGGAACCGCTGCCTGCGAAGAGCCCTGGCTCCAGCCCCTCTTGTGCAATGACCTCCCGCAGGGCGCCGGGGAACAGAGGCGGCCGCTGCCTGCCAGCCGCCGCGCCGGGCTTTGTACCATCCTCTCCCTCCGCCCCCCAGCCGGGCTCCGGCCCCGCCTCCCCACGGGAGACAAACCCCGGAGGCGCAAAGGCCCCCGGGGCTTGTAGTTCCCATCCGCGGCGGGGGGGGGGGGCGATTGGGGGCGGGGAGCAGGGGCTGCCAGGAAGCGGCCGCCGCTGAAATCACAACGCGAGGCGGGAGCCAAAGGGAGCGGAGCGGGCTGCAAAACTGACATTAACCAAGGCCACCGAGCGTGTCCGCTGGAGAGAGGGACACATCTGTCTCCATCCCGGTGGCCAGATAGCAAGTGTGAAAACTCGGGACAAGGGATGGGGGTAATGCCCATGTCAGACAAAGCCCCAAATATAGGGAGTGTCCCTATAAAATCGGGACATCTGGTCACCTCGCATCTACTCCATTTTAGACACGCATTCGGATGGTGCATCCTTTGGTCTCAACGTGTTTTGCAAAAGCGAGCTACTAATTGATTGCCTAGCGCTGTAACTGTAGCTAGGGAGAGACGTGGAGAAACTGGGGAATACTTATTTTTCCACCTCTTTGGATTTCGGCTAAATTTGCTTGTTTAGCTGAGAGAGAGAGAGCGACTCTCTGTGTGTGTGTGTGATGAGAGAGAGACTTTGTGTGTGTGTGTGTGTGTGTGTGTGTGTGACACATCCAAAAAGGCAAATAAAAAAGGGTAACCCTGTAATTGTTATTGCTAGTATATTTATATTATGGTGGTACCCAAATGCCCCATTTGGGCTTGAGGCCCCACTGTGCTAGGTGCTGTACAAATACAGAAAGGAAACAATCCCCGCTTCGAAGGGTTTACAGTCTAACCAGACAACGGATACGGGATGGGATACAACATAAAAGTAAATAAACCCTTTCTGGCTTTCCAATTGCTAAATCTAGCTTCTTTCCTGGTTAATGCCATGCACTGGCTCTAAATCTCGCAATAGCTCTGTAGCTAGGGATGTCTCCACTCCTCCAGCTAGAACTGCCTATGTAAATGCAAGGGGAATATATATTTTCATGCACTGAAAAAGCCAAATAAATGGGCAGTTCTCTGCATCTCTTAATTTTTCTAATCTACTTCTAGATTGAGGTTTCCCCGGGAATCTAATGCACACATGGTTAGGGGGCTAGTACTCTTTGTATGTACCTTGGTACTTGAGTCTGGAGGCGCCTCCTGGAAGAGTCTTTAAAATTCCCACGAAAATCTCCCAAACGCCTGCTTCTTTTTGATGTAGACTACAAGTCCCAGCAGCCTCAGCGGGAGCCTTCTGCTGGGAGAAAGCTGCATGCAAATCAGCAGCAGGACAGAGGCAAGCTGAATAGGGTGGAGTGAGAGGGGGAGCGGAGCAGGCAGCACTGAATTTGAGTAGGAAACATATGTTTGCAAAGCAAATGTTTGTGCCCAGGAGCCCGCCAGTGAAAGCCGCTTAAAACGAGGTGTTTTTTTTTTTTAAAACTTTGCAGCAATTGTGACTGCAAATCTTTAATCACTGGCACATTTTCAGACACTCCGATAAATTAATCAAAGGGCTTGCATGCCTTGCCTGGCTGGCTCACTTTGTGCTTTGGGGCTGCACTAGACCATAAAGGGGTGCTAGAAGGAGAAGGCTGGGACAACTTGTTCTCTTTTATCAAGTAGTACAAGGGGCAGGCCTAAGGTTTTAGCTCAAGCACTGGAAAAAATAAATATAGAGATGAGGAGCTGGGTGCCTTTATCAACCCCATTTCTAAACTGGCCCTTCTACATTGCACCTGTACAACTGGTGCATGTATGAACAGATGTTTGCATGTGCAAAGCAGGCATTTGAGCATACAAAAACAGAGCGTGCACATTAGGCACATGCACGTGTTTTTTGGGTACCGTTTAGGCACCCTGTATCTAAGTCTGAATGCTTCCTGTACCATCAGCTGTCACCTAGGGCACAAATGAGGCTCCACCATCCCTGTCTATCCTGGGTGGTTCTTTGCCTGTCTCCTATGTTCTTAAATCCCATAGGTTTTCCCTCTCTGAGTACTGTATGACAAAGGGATTCTTTTGGTTGGCCCATTTTTTGTGTGCCCTATAACTAAGGACAATTTGGGCAACGCCACAAAGGAGACTGTGAGAGCCCACGCCTCTGGTGAGATTCAAGGCCTATCCAGAGATGGATTAGATGGTGAGGAAATCTGTTCTGCCTCCCTACTCAGGGATGCACTAAATGAGCCACTAGCAGTTCCTCCTCAGCTCACACACTTCTGGTTATGCCCTCAATCTTTTGTTTTTCAGATAAGCGATTTGACATGTCTCTTTTAATGTATTGCTATTTTGTAAGGAGCACCCTCAGTGTACATGAACGCAGAGGAATACATGGGTGCTACACTGCCCCAAAGACTGTGGTTACACTGCCATTTGTCTTAAAATCTCCCACAGCTGTAATTCCCCCTGTGCAGCACTGCAGATGACACAGAAGTTAAAACACTGGCAGCTGATCTACACTAGCACTTCCACCTCTGCTACCACAAATGGAGCTGCAAAGGTGGGAGATTTTAAAAGAAAAGCCAGAGCAGACAAGGTCAGGTGTGTACAGTCTGAATTAGACAAACAGTACACAATCTACATTAGGGCTCTTTCTCAAAGCGGGACAGACAGACAATTTTCTTTCGTTGGTGAGTTATTGTTAAAAGGCTTTGTCGGAAAAGTGTGTTTTAAGCGGGGGTTGACTGGAAGGGAAAATGATACTAGTCCTACTCTTCCACGTTCCGCCCACAAAATAAACTCTACCCACATGAGTTGCCAAAATGAGAGTGTTCACAGTAGATTATGCAGATGTTTAAAATATGATAATATGAGTTCTCTGAGCTCCATTGGACTCCTTGAGGTTGACTCTCCTTGGGTGGGACATTGGATATGCCCCTGGGGCTTTGCTAGGCTCCTTTAGCTTGCTCCTTCATGATGGCAGAAAAGTAAGTGATGGCATCTCCCAAACACGAGCCACTTGTGGCACCAAAAGGAGACATGACTCAGTGAATTGTACAGTGCTGTGAATCTCCCTCTGCTTTCTTACATCAGCAATGAAATAGTTAACAGTATTTACATTATCATCACTACGCATCAGAGTTGACACTTCACATAGATCAGTGGCTCAAACTTTTTTTTACTGGTGACCCCTTTCACATAGCGACCCCCCCTTATAAATTAAAAACACTTTTAAATATATTTAACACCATTATAAATGCTGGAGCAAAACGGGGTTTGGGGTGGAGGTTGACACCCCCCCTGTAATAACCTCGTGACCTCCTGAGGGGTCCCGACCCCCAGTTTGAGAACCCCTGACATACATGAATGGGGCAGTTCAAACCTCTCAGAGATAATGTTCCAGGCTCTCTGCAGACTCACATAGGGTATGTCTACCCAGCAGATAAGATTCCCCATACACCAGCTAATTCTGCTCAGGCTAGCACCTAAAAATAGCAGTGTGGCCTGACAGCTCTGCCTAGCTGCCCTGCCCAACCCCACAGGTATGTCCTTGGGTGGCTAGCCCAAGATGCTGCCTGTGCTGCATGGCCATGGTGCTATTTTTAGGTTACTAGCTCAAGCAGCACTAGCACATAGATGTCTGCCTACGTGGGACCTTACACCTCCCCGCTGCTGTGTAGACATACCCAAAGCCATCTCTGCATCTCTTAGACCCGGTTCACAGTTCTGAAGTTTTCATCACAACCATGACAAACCAGAGACTTTGTTATTGTTGTTGTTGCTGCTCTTTTGAAATGAAAACTGACTGTGTGGAAAACAAGACCGGAATTTCAGCGAGCTGTCAGTATGCCATACTACTGCATACCAGCTGAACCCCAGCCCTGCTTTTAACAAAGAATTGAAAGAACAGAAAGTGGGCAGTAAACATAGCTATTGTTGCAAATCTGTAATACTGTTTCATCAAGTAGATTCTTTTCCAAAATGTTACTTTCCTCCAGTGCACATAGAAGAGTAACTGGTCTCATTCTACATAGTACTTAAAAGTTAATTTGACAAGAAAAATCTATATCTGATTTTTTCCTATTATCATGGTGAAACATAAGAAAGTAGAAGAACTGGCAACACAGGACAAGTCATGTGGCCATTTTACTTTGATTTAGTGTTTTATACCCACAAATCTTCCCAAACATGTTCTTGACACTGGTATGATAGTTCTTCAGCCATCCTCTTTTGGGAATCTGTCCTGCTGCTTACTTGATCATATTGCTTGTGGAAGTAAACGAAGCAAACAGAATTTACCTTTTGTGTGTATGGCTGGGAAGGAGAGCGTTCTGTACCAGGGTCCATTACAAGAGGTAGAAGTCTGTCCACAATAAAAAACCCTTCTTGGTCTGTCTTGCCTTTGTAGGATGAACACTTGGGAAAAACAGATTTGGACTAGAGTTTTCTAAAGATATTTTTCTTTTATAAAAGCCCCCAAACAAAAAGCCAGTTGTTTTAAGGCAATTTTTTGAAATCTGAACTCCACAGTTGTCCATTTATATATTTGGTTGCATTGATTCTATTGCTCCACACATTCTAGACTTCATGAATGATTAAGGAAGGAGCAGTCCACCTTCCTGTTTCTCCAAGTGTCATATTCCCCTTCAAGGCCACATTGACTACAGTGAGGCAGGATCAGGCCCCATCTTAATAGTGCTGGTTGAGTATCTCCCAGCATAACTGCATGAATGAGAAGCTCATGCCACTTTGCAATAAAGAGAGTCAATGTTTGAAAAATTGTATGCCTGATGTAATCTTGAGCTTTGTTTTGTGACATACATGTGTTGGTGGAGTCACAAGCCATTGCCTACCTTCCACAATGTATAGTGCAGACAGCCTCTGGTTGGTCACACATTTTCCCTGCTATATGACCAATTCTTAGTATTCCTAGGCCTAGAGTCTTCATGATCATTGATTCATACCACTTACACCTACCTTATTTCTGCCATTAGAGATGTGTGGGCTCCTTCTTGGATT